TAATAAATAAAATAGGAAAAGAGAACTACAGCAAAGCTGTAAAGAAGCAGCTTTGGGTCTAGGCAAGATGCATTACATTGCTCTAAGATGAACTAGTGAAGCTTAAAGGAATAGTCCTATATATGGATGGTATTATATCAAAATAACATATTTTTGAGCAAGAGTTCTGTGCCTGCAAATGCAAATACTTAAAGAGAATTATTTTAGCCATAAAAATAGATTTGTATTCCTTTTTTTTTTTTTCTGGACTCTTCTGAACATTGGGAAGCTAGTGCAACTCTGAAAAAGTAGACTAGATTTTTTGCAAGACCTCACGTCATCAATAGCAGAACCGTTAATTCTGTTCCCTTTTCATAGCTATGCAGAGAAAAATTAGTGGAATCTACAGGAGTAATTGGAGGCTGAATTTGAGGCTCTCTGAACTGCACAGATGAAAACAGTAACAACAATGATTGTCAAGATCTATATTGTTTTATACCATTTCCGACAATACGTAAGTGAGAAAGACTTTGTTTGTTTTTCAGATCCCATTTTGAATCAGCACTGTTGTCAGTGATTTAAATCACCTTTTTAAAAAACTGAATAAATTAAATCGGAAAGGACTGAGACATTACAAACACATGAAAGCATACTGACCAAGTCACTTAACAAAGTAGATTTTTTGCAAATGAGTCTGTTTAATAATTAAATAAAGCAACTACTTTTAAGAAAAAGAGAATTATTAACTCTAATGCTCTCTGTTTCTCCATATCCTCAGGAATCATGTTTTAAAATTACAAATAACACGTATTACAAGAGCTGTTTGGAATAGTTCTCCATGGTCTGATTTTTAAAAAATGTTTAATTTCACGAGTTACTGATAAGTATGAACCAAAGCACAAGTGGACCTATCAGAGCCTGTCTCTATGTACTGGGGAGCTTCTGTGCCCGTTATACATAGATCTTCCCTCTAGAAAGCCTAATAATGCTAAAACTGAAATTACGACTGCTAGACTTCACCATCTAGCCTGCTTGCTTCTAGCAGATAAAAGCTGTCACATTTAATACATATTCAGTTATCTGTTTCCCTGATAATAAAGGCTTAGCTTCCCCCCCACCCCACCCCACCCCTCAGCTTTTTAAAGACACGATTTGGTATCATTTTACATTGATTTTTCTGGGGACTTTAAAAAAAACACTCATTGTTTCTTGTCCCTTCAAGCTCGAAAACGTTTCCCCGTCCAAATGCTGCCGTTTAATTTGAAGCGAATCTTGACTTTTTGCCAGTGGCATGGATGAGAGTAAGCCCGACCCGGCTACTTTTGCTTTGTTTCTTTCTTTTCTTTCTTTTTCTTTTTTTTTTTAAATCAGTGCAACTTCAGCCTGCCTCGGCAACAGTAAAAGGTAGCTGCTTGACTCGCAGCACCCAGTAACATAACATTTCCCTTTTTTTTTTTTTGCACCGAAACCAGCTTACGGCACATTAGAAACTACACATCGCTCTAGGGAGGGAGGGGAAGGGAGACGCACACACAAACGGCACCAGAGGATAATGGCTGTTTGTAGCAACGAGGTATTTAACGCCGGAGGGTGAAGGGGGTGGAGACCAGGGTGGGGTGTCCCAGGAGCTTCAGCTGCTGCAGTCCCTGGCACCGAGCTCCTGGCAGGCTCCCCTGAAGGGCTGTCGGCC